CTCTCAAGCTTATGAATGCTGTAGACAGTTGAATAGGAACCATACGAATAGGTTTACTCTCCTAGCAGTCAAACTGGAACAGCATACAATAAATCCTTCCCCCAATAATGAGACACTTCACTTTGAGGGTTAAAACAGGAACTCTGTGCTGGCACACCCAGCCTGGTTTTTATTACAGCCTTTCACATACAGGACCGCCCACAGGGAGGTATAAAACAACCAATCACATATCAGTGACATCCCACATATTCCCTCCCCTTATCCTGAGAGGAAACTCAATTACACATACAGTTAAAACATACTTTCTACCCAACTTTCATAACTCTAAAACCATACATCACATTCACATAAAATTACATATTCACAATCAATCCATTCAGGGGAACAACATATTAAAAAATGGCATGAATCAGAACAGGGGTTCAAAAGTTAGTAAAATTATCTTTTGGGCCCTGGCTGGCACATGACTATCTGGCTCAAACAGGTTTTACAGAGCCCTCTATCCTGGAGGCAATGGGGGAAAGTAATCCAATTATCCAGGGATAGAGGCAGACTCCATTGAGCACATGGTTGCACAAATACATAAAACACTTTAAAATACATAAAGTCACCTTTTACACATAACACACAGACATGTCACATATCCCCAGATAGCTGGGATCTGAGCGCACAAAACTACCGAATAGCGCTCAGATCCTATTCACACAGTTCAATTGCCATGGAGCCGAAGTCTTTAACTACACGAATGGGCTCCATGGCATAGCTATCTGGGTTAACACATTCAGATAAAGTCTGGTCCATAGTCCAAAGGCAAGAGACGGGCAAGCAGCCCCCTCCAAGGACACGTGGCGAGGTCGGTTTTGCCACATTATATATATGAAAAGGGGGAAAAAGTTACAAAATATTAAAATAAATCAAAACAGTAAGGAGAAATATTTTTTTTTTAAAAAGGGTAAAATACCACCTGTTGTCTTCAGGTGGTCTTTGATAATGCTGCAGAAGCCCGTTCCTGCAATGTTGGGTTGGGCTGTAATATTAATTGAAAGTGGATTCATCAAGATAAGTCCAGAAAAATAAGACCAATTGTTTTGCAATTTAAGCCCTTATTGGCCATCAGTTAGCCTTTGGAATTCAACGTAACAGTTATATCCAGTGACAACAGGCCCCTCTCTCTCTTTGGGAGGACCATTGATTCAGTGAACCATTTGATAAATCTGCTGGTCTCACTATCCTTACGTTCTGTGGGGCCTCCTGTCTAATATTCAAGAATTGTGTGGGCAGATAAGATTTGTATCTGCCACTAAGAGGCCCTTAAAAAACTTGTTAATCATTTCCAGGACTCAAATAATAAGATCCAAATGTAGATCCATGTTGGCAGAAATCAGAACTATAGTGGACTACTTCCAATTTAAACAGCCAGCATTTCATTTCAATTCCAGATACCTATCCATTGGTGCCTAATACTGTGCTTAGCTTCCTTGTACACATTATTCACTATTTTGACATAGTATTGAAAAAGAACTTATCCAGATTTTTTATATGCATTGTGACGCCTATTATCCAAGGTCATTTTGTCCTGTTGTCCATGACATGTAAACCGCGTCCTTCAAATCTTGATATTTATTCCAATAATTTTTTTTACTAAAAGTTAAAATTATGATAAACAATTGGTAGTGATACTTGCCCTGCAGTCCATACTTACATTTTGCCAGCGCTGAACAGGCAGTGTGTACAGGGTCGGTAGTCTCTTATTCGTTCTCGAATATATTAATTGCAAGTTCAACAACGTACAAAGTATCTCATTTTGCATATTGGGCCAGTACAGAATGTCCGTTAATCTTTAACAATCAATGACAAATCTTTCAACCAACTGGAACAGAAGATTGCTTGCAGTCTTTTGGCATTTATTAAGGCATTCCGTCTAAAGTAAGCACATGGTCTGTGACACTGTCACTGTGGTGAGTGATTCACTGATGTATATCACCAAGCAAAAGCTTAATGACCACATTAATTCAATAGTTCTGCAGTGCAAGCAGCATGCTTTCACACTCTTTAGTTGCACATATATAACCATCTTTCTGAAAATAGATGTCACAAACGAATTGTTAGTTTATGCTGAAATCATATTGATCTCATAAAGGTAATGATGAAAGTGCGTGCATGCAAAGCAACACTCAGACATTCCTCTTCACTTTAAACAAAAATCAAATTGTAGGTGAGAGCGCACAGTACATAAATAAAATGTTATCAACATTAAAGTCTAACATGCACAAATATAAAAACTGACCATAGTGTAGTATATTCCATATTAAAAAATAAAATCATGAGCGAAATATAGTAGGCTCAGACTTTCAGAGTTGTGGTAGCTGACATTTAATGTGGATAAATAGACATGCAATTCGTTTCGTTCTGAATGTAAATTCAGACGAATTTCGGACATTCGGATGCTTCCGAATTTCCAAAGTGCCGCATTTCGGAATGCCAAACCGAAATGCCGAAGTTCCAAATTTCATAATGCCGAACCGAACCGCCAAAGTGCCAATTTCGGAAGTGCCAACGTGCTTCGGATTTCTGATAAGTGGCAAAACAGGAGAGGGTTAGTGGTTGGGGTATGGTCAGGGTAGGGTTAGGTTTAGGGGTAGGGTTAAGTTTTGGGGTAGGGTTAGTGGGTGTTGTAGGGTTAGGGGTGTGGTTAGGAGTTGGAGTAGGGTTAGTGGTTGGAGTAGGGGTAGGGTAGGGATAGGGTAACCCTAACCCTATTCCTAACCCTACCCCTACACCTAACCCTACTCCTAACCAACCCTAACCCTACCCTTAACCCTAACCCTAAACTAACCTAACCCTAACCCTAAACCTACACTTACCCGATTTGCCCAACCGAACCGAAGTGCCGAATTTCCAAAGTCCCGAATTTTGGAATGCCGAACCAAATATTTTTCATATGCACATCAGTATGGATAAGTGCAAGATAATGCATTTTGGACGTAAAAACCCAAAGGCAGAGTACGTCCTAACCTCAACATCTGAGGAAAGGGATTTAGGGGTGATAATGATGGTGTAATAGAGCAGCAGGAAATGCTAGTTGAATGCTTGGTTGTATAGGGACAAGTATTAGCAGTAGAAAGAGGAAAGTGCTCATGCCATTGAACAGAACACTGGTGAGACCTCACTTGGAGTATTGTACGCAGTACTGAAGACCGTATCTCCAGAAGCATATTGATACTCTAGAGAGCGTTCAGAGAAGGGCTACTAAGCTGGTTCATGGATTTCAGGATAAAACTTTCAAGGAAAGGTTACAGGATGCATGGAATAGCCTTCCAGCTGAAGTGGTAGAGGTTAGCACAGTGATGGGGGTCAGGGGGGAGGACAATACCTTTTGGTATTTAGGGCCCCCACCGCCGCTCAGGGGTGGGGGCCGGGGGGGAGTACAATAGGTCCCCCCTCCTTATTATAACTTAGGGCCCCAACCCACCGCTCAGGGGTGGGGGCCAGTGGGGAGGAAAATAAGTCCCTTCCTTATTGGTATTTAGGGCCCCCACCCGCCGCTCATGAGTGGGGGCCGGGGGGAGGACAATAGGACCCACTATTATTTTACATTATGCTCAGGGGTGGGGGCCGGGGGGAAAACAATAGGTCCCCCCCCTTATTCTTCTTTAGGGCCCCCACCTACCGCTCAGGGGTGGGGACCGGGGAGAGGACATTAGGTCTCCCCCTTCTTTTACTTTAGGGGCCCCACCTGCCGTTCAGGGGTGGGGGCCGGGGTGGGGCAATAGGTCCCCCCTTCAGGTTAGAAGCTCCCACTCGCGTGGCACGGGTGGGGGCACAGGAGGGGGGACACGTGTTTTTTTTTTTTTTACAGTGAGCAGCCACAGGCAGCTCACTGTTTACTAGACATGCCCCTACTCGCGGTATAGCAAGTAGGGGCATAATTTACTAATACTAAGTAATCTTTACCAATTTAGGTCTTTCAGCCTTTTAGTATATAGCTCCCTAATGGGAATTAGGGAGTTAAGGAATTAGGGAGTTATCTACTTATTCATTCCTGTCATTCCATTGACTGGCTAAGTAACTTACATTTTATATGAATGTATGTTACTTGATTGTTGTAAGTGTTGCAAATGCTTACAGCTGAATCCTGGCTATGTTTGTATACTTTTTATTTAAACTTGTATACAATGTAATGGACGCAAAAGCCCAACAGAGATATCGGAACAATGCTCCAAAGATCTACCGCATCAAAGAACCCCATGGCGGAGGCTCAACATCCTCCAGCAGAGACTACCCCTGCAGGGGAGAGCAAAGACCAGGAGGTCTTGCCAGCCCCTGAACCTGAGCAAAATCTGAGCCTGCATCTAACAGACAGCTTGGCTCCAACAATGAAGGGAGACCTCAAAATCGTCCTCTCTGAACTACACAAAATGATGGCGACGGACCTGGTGTTCATCAGGAAAGAGATTCAGGCCCACAAAGACTGAATCAAGGCATTAGAGGGGGACATATAGGACATACAGATTAAAGTGTACAACCTAGGTGTCTCAGTCCACACTCATCAACATGCCTTGTCCCTGAGACTGACATCCATTGAAGACTAACAACGCCGCAACACCCTAAGGATCCGTGGAATCCCGGCTGCAATTGTGGCTGAAGAGCTACCTCACTACATTTGGAGGTTGCTGGCCTCCATTTTACCACCTGCGGTGGCCAGAAAGATCACTTTGGAGGGTATCTACCAACTTACTAACACGGTTAAACCCTCTAAAACACGGGACGTTATTGTGTGCTTACGAGGCAAAACACTATTTTCCTTTGAAAACTACCACCTATGCATCTTTCAGGATCTTACCAGAACAGCCCTACAGTGGCGCAGATCAATGGGGCCTCTCACAACTCACCTACGTTTCGTTGGTGTGCCCTATCGGTAAGGGGACCCCTGGCTCCTTGGTGGTAAGCTGCAATGGGCACACTCTGCTCACTTGTCAACTTGCATGCTTTCTATGAGGCACTGGGACTGCCGATACCGGACTTGATCCTAGAGACACAGGCTCCAGTCAGGACTTGGGACCCAGTCACAATTGTGTCCTTTGTTCCAAGAAAGGGAGGCTCCAGGATGACATTAACTGACTATCCTGAAAATGCCTACCACTCCTATCAACGCAGGAGGCACAAGAACCGAGAACCGAGCAGTGGCCCATACTTATTACAAAGTGTACCTGTTTTTATTTTGAGTTTACCCTTTATCACTTTTATTTTGATTGTGGCTGTGTCGCAAAGGTAGGCTGAGCCTTGCCACACATGGGCCTAGATAGGCGATAGAATAAATGCAAATGCTATTTTAATCGGTGAGATATACTCCCCCCCCCCATGACCTCGTAGGTTAGGGGTATTATCAACAAAGGCATAGTTGGCTACTAGTTGCCTTCACCACAAATATTTTGTTTATTTTTAGCATGGTACTAGCAATAGGTCACCAATCATCTCATATCATACAGCCGTAGTCAGTTGTGCATGTAGCCTTTCCCATATGACTACATCTGATGGTTTAAGCTATATTGTGCAACGTTTTCATTTTACTCCCATAGCTTGACACCTCTCGCATATAACGCTCCCATCCCTAGGCCCCCCAGAGTGTCACTAAAACACACCGACTTAAACCTATCATTCCCCCTGTAACAGAACTTTACTTTCTGCCTGGAAATATTTAGCACTAACCGAGACTAATGATACAAGGAAAAATGCTTCCCTGGTTTACGTGGATTATTGTAGCACAGTTCGGGACTTTTGTTGCCAGTATTCGTCTATTTGTGCAATCCATGCAGTAGGGACTCAGCAGGCACAAATACGAATACAAACTACCGAACACCGGACCACCCTGCTATACAATTATGTGGTATTTTACCTCCCAGACCGGGATATACCATTCGAGAAGAGAGTATGAGAAATGCACAAATCCTTTGTTTCAGATCTTAGGTGGCCGCCATTTCGGGACTTTTGCACGTGTTCGCGGCCATCTTAACGCACGAACAGCGGTGATTTGCCGTCGAGTGTCTGGAACTAAAATTAGACACTCGAGTAGGCGAACACCGCTGAAACCTCCATAACACCGTAAATTCGTGCTGAAACTACCGAACGCTCTGCCGTTCGGTAGATAGGATATATTACATACAGGGATTCCAGCGACCAGCAAGATATGCACGGATGGCAGGATTTTCGTGCCTTTTCACTGCACGAACGAGGACCGACCGCAAGGCCAAAACTTATGGAACTATTTTCGGCTAGTGTGCCTATGCGGTCGGTCAAAACTTTAAAGTCCCATAACTCCCGAACACTTTAACCGAATAGGATGATTTTTTAATATGTTGTTCCCCTAGATGAGGGTTATCTGGGGATACTGGATTTAAGGGTGTACCCCAAGTACTTGGGGTACATCCAAAACTAGGGTAAAAATGTGTGTGTGTTAATTATGTTAACTGTTTATCTGAGGGGAGGAGACGTGTGGGATGGACCATGTTTGTTATTGGTTACTGTACTAATTATGTAGGTGTCGCCCTCCCAAGGGCAGAATTGCATAAAAGGAGAATCCCTGTCAATAAAAGCCAGTTCTGCTTGACCCTTCAAAACGTAGCCTCATCTACAGCTATGCATGACTCTACTCTTGGATCTCGTGGATGGGAATAAGTAACTCCATTACTATACAGCAGCTTGCCAGGAAAAGGACGTCTCCAACGGCTGATACCCCCTTAGTACCTGGGTAGCCGTTACACCCCCTTCCGAGTTGCATAGGGCACAGATTGCTTGATGTTATATAAAAAATAATGTATGTACTCTGTCATGTGATACCATTATTAACCTTTCTGTTTTCAATGCCTTCTAATGACGACTACCCATAATGTTTGATATATGCATTACAAAAATAAAGAATTATAAAAAAAAAAAAAAGGTAAAAAAAATTGTCTGGAATTAGGTAAGTATATATTGATTCCAAAAAGGACAAATAACATTTATTAAAAGCAGGTTTCCTAACTGTAACAATTTGTTCTGCCAGTATGGAAATAAAAAAAACAAAGAAAAAAAGTGAATTGAAAACACTATTCAATAAAAAACAGAGATATGGAAAACAGGGAGATAATAAAAAAAACAAATATTATTTCCATCTGTGTATATCGCATAAGGAAATAATTCTATTCGCACCAATTAATACTGACAATAAATAAAAGTACCCAAAAGAGAAGGGAAAAGAAATAGAAAAGAACACAATAGGTTTAAAGGAACAGTAATGATTGTTTAACTTTTAATAAATAATATAAAATTACATATTATGTTCTAGTCACCATAAAATAAGGAAATAAATTAATTGTGCTCCAATGTCTTATGTAAACAAGGATATACTAAAAAATGGAATATAAGTTAAAAAAATAATTAAAAACACTTTCCAACATGATTTTAACAAAAAGTAACAGCTGGGGGGCGGGTCTAGCGCTGCTACAGCTCAGATGCCATATTGAGCAGCTCCAAGGCCGAAACTCTTGATTTGGCTCATCATGGGAATGATAGCCCAAAATAACACCCAGTAGTGCTAGCCATCATTAGGGGAATTCCTGCAGAATGAGCTGATGCTCTTTTTCTGTGGTTTGTAAGTCAAATTGCCCCACAAAGTCCAATGGCGCATTAGGCCTGAAAGCCTGCAGGAGGTGACGAGACATGCCAGAATCCTTGCGGACTGAAGTACTCACCTTCCTACAAAAGTGCTCCTACCATTGCAGAGATGGGTCGGAGGACTCAGAAGGCGCAGGTAGCACCACCACAGGAGGCTAAAGACATTGGTAAACGTCTCAAAAACATATCAAGGGAGGCAGATCCCTCTTTAATGGCGTCCTACACTGATGCATTAGATGAAGAAGATGGTCTAATGGATGAAAGATTAAGCGGGACTAACCCTTCCAACTCTGCTGCACCCAGTGAGATCAAAGGGTCAGCACCTAGCACTTAAAAAATATAACCAATTTTGTGACTGATGTTGCTTGGTGAGAACTAAAGTCTGTGTGGTCATGGCTTGCATCCAAGCTACTGAAGAGAATGTGGCTGATCTTAAAAAGGGCCTTTCAGCATTGGGAGAAACTGTGCAGCAGTTACAAGTCTCACACCCTCTCCTGACTCTCAGATTTGACACCCTGCATGATAGGAGTCAAAGACAGAACATCAGAGAGATATCAGACGCAGTGGTCCGAGAGGAACTTCCACATTTCCTCAGACGGCTGATAGCATCTGTGTTACCCAACAAACAAGCATAATTAATTTCACTGGATGGCGCCTATCAGATTACTAGGTTTCCTCATCTCCAGCAGCCTTCCCAAGGGACATTATACGCAGATGTAAATCTTATGCATAAAAACAAAGGTTTATGAAAATTCTCCAGGAAAAGGTATCTCTGGACTTTGAAACGCATCTTCGTACTTTCTTCCAAGATAACAACTGCTCCACACTGCTGTGGCAAAAAGCAATGTAGTCCATTGCAAGGAAGTTAATAGCATATCGGTGGTCTGTGTCCCATATACTGCTGGTCTCGAAGAAGGGGGAGACATACAAAGCAACATCTCCAGCAGAAGTCCCTGCTTTCATCTCAGCACTTGGAAGCCGTGAAAAAAACCACAAGATCTGTGACCCTTAATTAGGATATGACCTAAGTGTGAACTAGGTGTGATAGCTCTGTTTTGCGATCACTGACATAATGCTTTTATTAACCGTTCTCATTATAGTTAGACTAACCACTGAACCACTACAAGGTGTTACTGAGCTGTTTTGGCTCTAGTTTGTGTTTTTCTTTAAAGCTTTTATGTTTTTTTTTCCGTATTTTTGAAATAAGCGTTTGTAAGCACAGGGAGCTCTTTAAGTATTTCACCTTCCCCTCCTGCTGCCCCCTTGGTTAGAGGTACTCACACGCTCTTGAGGCATGACAAATTATGGTCTACTTTTCTCAGCAATTTTAATTTCATTAATTTCATCAGCATTTTCATTATGTTTTTCTCAGCAGACTTATTGGCCTCTTTTTCATTATATATATATATATATATTTCCGATATCCTGCCTGATGGCTTAATAGTATAATACTATAATGCTGTCATACCATTTTCGTAGTGATTAAGCTTGTGGCCTCCAGTATTGCATACCTCCGCTGTGTGGAATATACTAAATAAGCATCCCACAACATGTGTCGAATCTTTTACCTATGTCAACTGGAGTTCCCTTTTTTTTTCTTACTCTTTTTATTTTAAGTTGTGTTCTGGCAGGATGGTTTAGCTAATATTTATTGTACATATGAGTGGCTTTGATGAATAACTTATTTAGCTCCACTATGTTTAGATTCAAGTGAGTCTTTTCTTCTGCAAAATATGGAATGTATGCATATTACATGTCCAGGTTATCCCACTTTTGGGATGACTGATTTATTTCTGTACGCTTTATATTGTTTGAAGCATAT